ATTGAAATGTACATCTGTGAGCCCTCTGTGTATTATCATCATCATGCATTGACAGATATGTCCCATTGTGGGATGAAATTGACACGTGGTCGGCACATTTTGCAAATAGAGGTCAATATGGATTTTTCTTTGTTCACGAGCTTGAATCGAAATATAACATACCGCATATTTTTTATCTGTGTTTTGTAAATGTTTCAGGTGCTTTGTGTTGTAGATAATGAATTGCACGTTTTTGCATTTAAGAGAGTCAGTGTTTTTTTTTAGCAATATAACATCTATGCCGTTGGAACTGAAGTGGGTCAGGACAAACCAGTGGTTGATAGTATGAGTGATAGAGGATGTATAATAAGCCAAGAAGCAAATAACAACCCCATTAGCAGGTAAATTGTGCTACTGAGACGAGGGTTCAGTGAACTGAATTTCGGTGTCGAACCTGGACCTTCAGATGAACGGACTAGCGAAAGGCCTATCACTTTCTCTGATTCAACTGCAGTAATGTAGACTAAGTCAGTTTGTGACAAAGTGGTATTTTAGCTATATACAAATAAACATAGATCCTGGTACGGCTAAGGGACGCAAGTCCGCACGGCGAATCGCATTGATTTCCCCGGCATGACCAACCAAAACACGACTATAGGTGATTATGTCAAATTATGCACCATATTCACCCTAGTTAAGTTTCCAGCAGAAACAGGGGCGGTAGTACTGCCTAGTGGTTAAAGCGCACGGCGAATCGTCACGCCGAAGACCAACCAAAATCACGACTATAGGTGATAATGTGTGAAGCCCATTTCTGGTGTCCCCCGCCGTGATGTTGCTGGAATATTGCTAAAAGCGGCATAAAACCAAACTCAGTCAGTCAGTCAGTCCAGCAGAAACAAACCCGCGAGTTTCACCAAAGAGTCACACATCACCTTTTCTTCTGCATTTACCGTCTGACCGTTATCAAATTTTAAATTTAGTTAAACCGTTGAATTCACTTACCCAAACTCTATACACAAGTTGACAAGGTCATGAGAGTAAAGGATAGTATGGACGCAAGTTCATATGGGTTTGAGGGGCAGTGGGGTAGCCTAGTGGTTGAAACGTTCGCTTGTCACGCCGAAGACCCGGGTTCGATTCCCCGCATAGGTACAATGAGTGTAGCCCATTTCTGGTGTCCCCCGCCATGATACTGCTGGCATATTACTAAAAGCGGTGTAAAAACCAACTCCCTCCGTCACTCACTCATAGTGGCTTGAGACAAACGGTCATAAGTAAAACAGTGGCCTCTGACACGTGTTAACATATTTCCATCATCATCAACATGTTTTTCACCCCTGCCATTTACTATGTAATGTGAACCTTGTTTATCCGTACACCTTATTGACATTGACCAACGCTTTCTGTAATTCAGCAATTTCTTCGTGTGGTGATTCATGAATATACCCGAGCTGGAATATTGCCGAGTCAAACGAGAGGGGAAAGAATGGATGGACAGAAGAGTTGACAGTGACTCGTATGGTTTTGTGATGTCTCAGTCCCGCAGTATGGCTACACTCTCAGTCTTAAGATCAACGATAAAATGGGCACAAAGATATCACATTTTCTGCATTACTACAGTTAGTTATATAGACCTTGTTGTAATGGAACACGGTAATCTGAGTAAGAATGAATGATAAATTCATTAGATGTAAGAACCATCGTTGACATTTTAAAAGGAAGAAATACCGTGGGATTTACAAAGAATCGTTAGAAATTGGAGGAAAGACAAATTTGAGAACACATTTTCGTTAATCGTCTGCAGGAAAAAAAGACTTTCACTGAATGTGCTTTCATTCTAACGCTAATGATTAAAATATGAACTCCGTGGCTGGGAGCTGCGGCAACAACAATTCTATTGACAGACGTCGTTTGCAGCAACAACAGTTGTATAGAGAGACGTCGTTTGCAGCAATAACAATGCACTGCCAGACGTCGTTTGTAGCACATATTGAAAGAATCGCACGGAAAATACGGAAAATAACTTCCACAGGGGAAGTAACTCTTTCAAATTCTACTCTTTGTTTGAATGAAACTGTCGGTCAAAGCAAGGGAGTTCTATCCCTACTTTCTTCATTCTCTATTTTAGCATCAAATGACATTTTTTGTGAATGAATATACATGATCTCTCATTTAAGCGAGACACGAACATTATAAATTATGCATAACGAACTGTTACCCTGAGTACTCAATCATTAATTGTATATTCCAGAATGATTGTAATTTCTTAATTCTTTTGTTTCTTGTTGAAACTTCTCTGATTGTACTGTATTGCACGCTTTTAGCCCCTTGGTAAATTTTGTTTAACCGAATTTATATTTTATCGTGACTGAATTAAGTATAAGTATCGGTTGTTTCTATGAAAACACTTTAGTGTTTTAAATATCAAAACATTCAATACCGTAAATTTTGACATATTTTGTACTAAAATTGAAAACATGCCACGAACAGTGAATATTGCTCAAATTAAAACCATGTTTGCCGTTTTCTCTTGACATCAAATTTGATGCTTGCATATTAATGATTCTTCCTACTCTTGGCACAGTTGGGATGACACGGTTTTAATGCTTATTATGAAACTTACAACGGAGTATTTTATGTTGATAGGAAATATGGATCAACCAGACATATGTCACTCGCCGTCGATGTTTACAAACATATTTCACAAAATAAGAAAGGCAGTTACAAAATGCTGATGTGTCTGTAGACATTGAGAAGGTAGAGGGCACATTTGTGATACCTAAAATACATCTGCGTGAGGAATACTTATTTTAGTAACATCGTTATTATAAGACAAGCAGACAACAGCTTTTACCTGAATAGTATCCTAATAATCCATCTGCTTCCAAAATGTATCAACTGCGCGCTATCACCCACAAACACAAAACTCATTAAATCTTTGTTTAGTATTTAAAAGGAAATTTTCCAAATTGATATTGTTTGGAAGATATATGCGCACTGTGTGCATTTTTCTGTATTAGTCATATGGGTAACGTGGCCCCCAATGCAAATCAAATTGTGACTTGTTACTTGTCTTTTATAGAAAATTTACACGTTTAACGGCAGATTCGAATCTGAAGCGCTCGTAAAATCTTCAGAGCATGTTTTGTACGGGAGATAACTCTTCTTGTCATATACCCATAAGTAACCGTCCTCGGACCGTTCTTGGCGGTGACATGGGTTTGAAGGCCTTTTTCGGTTATTTCTCACATATATTTACCTGCACCTGTATTTGTGTCTATTTACAAGGCCTATGTTGGTTTTATAATGTAAGCCCATTGAGATACCAAGCCGCAGTTTAATATGGCCATTGAACTCCGACGCAGATACAAATTCCGAGCCGACCAGTCCTTAATGTGGTTGCTTATTGCCGGCAGAGTAACAACGTCTTTTAGCGTCTCTTGGTGTCCCTGCCACCCTGTCCACAACGTGAATATTTGATATATTCTCGTTAAGATATCGCCCGTCACGAGAACTGCTAACGATGGATGACATACTTATTGCTTTTAAGATTGTGAATTGGGTATGAACCCGTCGAAGCGCCCATAAAATGACTTCAGACAGCACCAGTCTGCGACTGTTCCAAACATTCCAATGCGTGGCAATAGGAGAGATGAACACACGGTCAGATTTGCCTGGCCCTACGTTATCCCTAATGTATTTGTTGACAAAGAACCGATCACGATATCTGAAGAACCAATTTCACGTCCATCCAACGTTATGCACACTGAAAACGCTTGTCTACTGCAGAAATTCTGCAGAATTCTGGTATAACAATATTGAGGAAATACGAGAACATCTCAGACATGTTATGTGTGTATGCGTGAGTGTGTGCGCGTGTGTGTGTGTGCGTGCGTGCGTGTGTGCTGCTAACGACAAATTCAGAGTCAACATTTGGGAGAAAACAGGATTTTGGTAATACGTTAACCAAAATTCACAAACACATCCACTAAACGTGTAATCACAAGAATATGAATACTCCAAAACGTAATCGTACGTCAATAATAAGGACACATGTATCAGATACCGTAGCGATGCTACAGCTTGACATGTTTCCATAAAACGTCGATTGCAGTGTAAACAAAAACAAAATCAATTTGTTGTAATCTCACCTGTAATAATTCCCGTGTCCAGCTGATTGATAACACAGGTAAACAACCTGACGCTTGTTGCTGTTTTGACTCCATTTACACGTCACGTTGAGAATCACTCGATGTGTCGTACATCCACAGAAATCTCAGACTTCCTGCACAGTGATCCATCGTGAATACACCATCCACAAGACTTGTACCACTAGAATCCACACAGTGTACTCTCCAATTTGAGGCACTTTCTAATCCATCTTTACTCCTTCTGGGGTACTTCCCTATCCACCATATAGAATATTCTTTGATCCTTCACATGTTATATGTAAACAAGCTCACATCCAACGGAATATCCCATCCATTTCACAACCATCTGGTTGAATATCCCATCCATTCCACATCCATCTGGTGTAATATCTTAATCATTTCACATCCGACGGAATATCCCATCCATTTCACATCCATCTGGTGTAATATCCAATCCATTCCACATCCATCTGGTGTAATATCCAATCCATTCCACATCCATCTGGTGTAATCTCCAATCCATTCCACATCCATTTGGTGTAATCTCCAATCCATTCCACATCCATCTGGTGCAATATCCAATCCATTCCACATCCATCTGGTGTAATATCCAATCCATGTCACATCCATCTGGTGTAATATCCAATCCATTCCACATCCATTTGGTGTAATATCCAATCCATTCTTCATCCATCTGGTGTAATATCCAATCCATTCCACATCCATCTGGTGGTATATCTTATTCATTTCACATCCGACGGAATATCCCATCCATTTCACAACCACCTGGTGGAATATCCCATCCATTTCACATCCATCTGGGGGTATATCTTTTTCAATTCACATCCGACGGAATATCCCATCCATTTCACATCCATCTGGTGTAATATCCAATCCATTCCACATCCATCTGGTGTAATATCCAATCCATTTCACATCCATCTGGTGTAATATCCAATCCATTCCACATCCATCTGGTGTAATATCCAATCCATTCCACATCAATCTGGTGTAATATCCAATCCATTCCACATCCATTTGGTGTAATATCCAATCCATTCCGCATCCATCTGGTGTAATATCCAATCCATTTCACATCCATCTGGTGGAATATCCCATCCATTGTACATCCAGTCGGTGTAATATCCAATCCATGTCATATTCATTCGTATTACATGGGGTATTATTCCATCTATTTCACACCAGTCTGGTAAAATATCCCATCCATTTGTCATCCTTCAAATGTTGTGTTCCAGTTCTCACATTAAGCCTTTCACATAATTTATGATTTAATATCACATCTATTCCATATCCTTCAGAAAAATATCACATCCATTTACAAAATTCATAGTGCAACATCCCGTCCATTATCATTGATATGGTGAAATCTTCCATCAACTTTGCATCCATCAGGTGTGATATTCCATTCATTTGGCGACGAATCCCTCCAGTTCAAATCCATCTGGTATATCACACAACATCCATTTGAACTCCATCTGGTCTGTACCTTTCCATCTGTTAGCATCCACCGGGAGTTGTACCATTATATTTTCAAATTCACAAAAATATAATTCTTATTCATTTTAGATGTTCTTTAAAATCATGAAATATTTTATCCTGAAAAATTACCTGGGTTGGATTTAAAGTGTGACATCCTTGTGCATTACTCTTGGCGAAATAGAGGATTCACACCCACATGTCACACTATCTTTCTTAAATCCAGTGGGTTTTCTAAATCCATATCATGCATTTGTCGTATTTATCTATAGGATGGAATCAGTTATCCATAGAAGTTTGTCTTTTGGTTGAACGTAGTCTTCTGTCCACGTCATATTCACTATGGTGTAGTGTACAACACAATGTTGTAATGGCCTGTGAGAACATTCCAACAACATGGTGTCCTGGTTCCCAGTGAGTGAATCACAGTTGTCGTGTGATGAAACAGCTTCACACATCATCCGTCACACATGTGACAGCCCGATCTGTATCAGACGCTCATGGATCACATACAGGTAAATCACGGATCACATACAGGTAAATTATGGATCACATACAGGTAAACCATGGATCACATACAGCTAAACCATGGATCACATACAGGTTAAGCACACGTCATATATCCTTCTTTCTGTACCTCACGACAGTGACGATTCCAGGTATCTCTTTTACACATTTAAAAAATAGACATGATAATAATAATCAATATTCAGCTCATATACTTCACAATTTACTTTTAGTATCCTTCTTCTTTCACACAGGACAAACACAATATCACGAAATTGCACATTTTTGCAGCAGAAGGACTTATAAACATTATCCAACATCCTTGTCCTTGTAGATTTCCCGCTGATCCGATTGTTGATTAGCAGCGACACATCCTTGTCATCTCGTGCAGGTTTAATCCACGTGATCAGATCGTACATTCACATGACGTCAGCTTCCTTGAATCAGAATATCCCGGTTGCATACAGGAAATCTGAAAATAACCCCAGAATATGCCACTTTAGCATCATTATGACTCAACATTATTTCTATGCCAATAATATCTAATGAACAAAACAATGGATGTGTTCATGCTGGGAAGATTGCCCCGATATGACGACTGCAAATAAGCAGATTTGGAAGAGATAGATCGGTGGTTAATAGTATGAGCACCAACCACGTCGCTGGGTACGACGACACCAAACAGGCATGCCATCAATCCCTATTTTAAACAAATGCGGGATACTGGGGACCCGTCAGTCGATAAAAATAGAATTTTTCAAGAAATAATCAGAAGAGTCATAGCCAAAATTAGGAAATGGGAACAAAGTCAACTTAAATTTTACAAATATTCGTATTTTGAATAAAATAACAAAAAGATAAATATTCAATAATCGAGTTACACGTTTAAGGCCAGCTTGACAGAAACAATATTAATTCCGGACATGCTAGTATCGACAACCAAAACATACCCACAGTGAAACTACATCCTCATAAATTACAGTTTCTCGCTGTCGAGGAACTCCTTGATCTACCTGCAACGCTCGTCGCGTGTGGTGGGTGAAATCGGTGATCCGATTTTCTCATACAAAACATAAGGTGGACGACTCATCAGTGAACCCACATGCAGATTACGACACCGCCTGCAACCTGATATCAAACCCGTTATGTGAAACCGGTCACAGTGTCGCATCTTCCTAACGAATTAGAAACAGATTTGTTCGGCGCCGAGAAATGCTTTTCAAACGCTCCTCCCTAATGCATATACGAATTCAGGTATTGTTACAAATTCAAAATGAAAAGGTGTTCCCATGTGCGATCAATTTTAATCACAATTCAATTCTAAGCAAATACGAAGGTAAATGTCAATCAAATGAATAAATAGTCGGTTCTGGTGTTAACGTTATTGTCAAATTGTATAAAATACAATGCTCATTATTCAAAAATATCAGTTGGTGAATTGAGAAACGAGACGAGTATTGATGAAATGGTGATCCTTAATTGGCACCCGACATACCACGTCAGTGCCGTTCAGTTTCATTTAAGATTGTTAATTGCCGTCTTTTGTTATGATAAATACCGGCGTGATATGAATTACATATCGCTTTGTGGTCTAATTGGCGAGCGCTTGTGTATATATTGATCTTACTAAAGGTCAACAGAATTCGAATGTGTCGTTGTATTTGATGCAAGCTAATAATGATGAGATGTATGGCATGTGTTGTCATGAGAGTGAGGAGAGAGAGGAGAGAGAAAGAAGGAGAGAGGGATATTTACAAATTAAGAGAATACATTCTGCATATTTGATATTTGATACATATAATTCATTGAGAGAGAGAAGAGAGAGAGAGAGAGAGAGGAGAGGAGAGAGAGTGAGAGAGAGAGAGAGAGAGAGAGAGAGAGAGAGAGAGAGAGAGAGAGAGAGAGAGAGAGAGAGAGAGAGAGAGAGGAGAGAGAGAGAGAGAGAGAGAGAGAGAGAGAGAGAGAGAGAGAGAGAGAGAGAGAGAGAGAGAGAGAGAGAGAGAGAGAGAGAGAGAGAGAGAGAGAGAGAGAGAGAGAGAGAGAGAGAGAGAGAGAGATCTGAAAGTGTCATTAAGAGTAGGGATAGAGAGATGTGAAAGTGTGTCATTACGATTGTTTTAATTTCCTTTCATATGTTCATATCTCACATAACTGTACCTACATCACATTCTTGTATCATTGTGTTCTTGCCATGAATGAACCACAATGTATGATGCCCCGCTTGTACTACATGCTGTAGCGAGGACAACTTCCTCGTCAACATATCTCCACCGTTGCTTTGTTAGTTTCATGAATCTATCGTCCTCACTTGCATGTTAAATCTGACGATAATAACAAACACACGTTCAATGCTCCGGGAGCGAAGACAACAATATTCCACCCGACTTCTACTCTGATAATAACCACACAACTACTTTAAAAAGCTCACAATTCAAGAATAATCAAATATACACTTTCTTCAAGTATAAGTCACAAAGGAAGTCATGAGCTTGTTTAGGAATGAATAATTATATTATTATTATCATATTCTAATTATTATGTTATTATACCACTGGATTGTCTGGTCCAGATTCGATTTGCTTTACAAACAACATCATACAGCTGTACAGCTGCTGAAAGATATATATACTCACGATATAGTCACAGTTGTATCGACTCTGCTTAAAGCTTTTAGAAGATATTGCTTATGAATGTGGAAAGAGTTTTGTCGCTTCTATGGACATTGTTGTGTTATTCTTAAATTTTAAAACTGTAAAGGCGGAACCGACTCTACATATTTACCCAGCTACAGAAAACATACACTAGAAAATCGCATCTGACCAAGTTACAATGTTATCAAAGCATTACCAAGCTAAAACAGTCGCCGATACACTGCTAACTTCAGGTCCATAACATAATTATGATCCCAGTGTTAGATATGTCACCACCAAATAACCACATCTTGTTTGTTTTATCTAAAGCCACCAAACAAAGGTTATATTTTCAATTTTGTTCTTTTGCGTTTTGGTGTAACGGCCATTGGCTATACAGGATTCAACATTATTCAACACGATTCACGATGCGTATGTTAATTTCATCTACAACAAAAGAGTGAAAGACTATCGGGATCTTTGATATCAATATAGATAACATGTCATTGCATGGCATATGGACTATAATTATATGGAAGGATTATTTTTTATTTAACAATATTGCCGTATATACGACAATATTGACATTTATTCTTCACGTTAAATGGTGAAAGTTTGATATGGAATCGAACACTAAGTCCAACTATTTCTCTCGTTTCCAGGAGTTCGAAACAAAGGGGTTCGACTGCTACAAACAATGCATTTAAACGATCTTCATATTACAGATTAGAACATAATTATTCAGTTTTACTCACGTTGCAGTGATTGCACTAATACAGGCAGGCAGATAGTTTGCTCGGACACGTTGACAAAGTTACATTTATTATTCAACTAATTAATTATTGTTTCATGCATAGCCGACAATGTCGACGATATTACGCATGATGGGGTTAAACTCTGTGATCGGGTTCTCAAAAATTATGCTTTTTAATGGGTTTCCTTTTATTTGTTGTTGTTGTTGTTTTTTGTTCGAATCATAAGTAACATAGTCCCCGATGTATCCACAGGCAGAACACGGTAATACCTGCTTCTAGACATTAACCAGATCTCTGGGGCCTATTGGATAAATCATCTACGGCGAGAGATTAAGGTCTGAAGTTCGATCCCCGGCCGCGTCATATTACTTGAGTTTTTAGATGGTACTTGTTATTACCCTGCCTGGAGCATTAAGGGTAAAACAAGGACTAGTCGGTAATACTGAAGTCAGTATACTGATGTAAACATATTTATTTCCAATGAAAGGAACCGGATTGGTAAACAGACAGAAGGTTTATTTAGGCCATGGGCAAAAACAACGATTACAATTTTTGTATGATTGCACAGTCGTGGGTATTTGTGGATGTACATATATAGTTTGATATACAATAATTTGACAGAGAAATGAGGGATGGTAACCCAAGAGTAAATAATTACAGCATATTCATTGTACTTTCCATTTTAAAGATATGATAAACACATTTAGCAATACTAATCAATAGTTGTACATTATTAGTTTGTAACATGTTCACAAACTTTATCATACTTGGTCTGGCAATGACATGCTTTGGTAGATAACGATTTCTTATACTTAAATATTTTGGACAAATGAGCAAGATATGGTATTCATCTTCAACATCGTTCACACAAAATGGACACAGGCGATCGTGTAATGGTGTTTTAGGTGTAGTCCATCTGCCCTTTTCTATCATCAGTGTATGTGAACTCAATCTGAACCGTGTAAGAGCAATTCTATATTTCCTTATATCAATATGTACTAGATACTTTTCAAAATTTAAACAATCTTTAATTTGCAAATATAATCTAGTTTCACTCAAAGAATTTAAATAATTCTTCCACATCTGAGAGTAAATATAAATACGCTGTTTAAATTCTGCTATAAATCCATGGTAATTGCTCAATCCCTGAGAAACCCATAAATAACCGAAGCCATATTTATAGAGTGTAGCTCTTAATAATGTTACCCAATTTTCACCATGAGGGTTCAAATCAGATAATAAAAAGAGTGAATTGTAAATCAGTACTATATATCTATGTGCACTACACTCTAAAATCTTCTTCCAATATTTTAGAATCCTAATCAACCTGTGGACTATCAGTGGATATGCACCTAGTTCGCCATAAACAAATGCAGATGGTGTTGATTTCTTAACGACTAATATATTTTTCATAAATTTTAAATGAACTCTTTCGACAGGTTTAGCCTCCATAAAACCCCACAATTCACAACCGTATGAAAGAACTGGTACTATGACTGAACTGAATAAGTGGTACTGAACATCGACCGATATATGGGGATTATTATTGAATATACGATACAGTGACCCTAACGCCTCTAGACATTGATCAGCTAGTGTCTTTTGTGCTTTAGACAAACTTCCTGATGACGACAGCACTAATCCCAAATATTTAAAGGTCTCCACTACTTTTAGTTCCTCGCCGTTATAAAACCATTTTTCACACTTAGCAATTCTACCACCTTTACAAAATACCACTACTTTTGTTTGTTCAGTGTTAACAACCAATCCCCACTGATAACAGTATTCAGATAACTTATCCAGTCCATCCTGCAAACCTTTAATATTGTTGCTAAATATAACCATGTCGTCTGCAAAAAGGAGTAATAAAAGGAGTAATAAAAAACCAAGACACCATGATCTACGGCTGGTGACAAAGCTTCTACAACATCATTAACAAAAAGCGAAAATAGAATTGGAGATAGATTTTCCCCCTACGAACTCCAAAAAAAGAAACAAAGAATTCTGAATAAGCATCATCTGATTGTCTAACACAGGATTTAACATCACTGTACATTTTCTTAAGTAGTGTAAAAAAAACTTATCCC